AAAGCTATTTACTATCTCAGTGTGTCCATTTACTTTGGAAGGGCAGTTCAGTGTTTCTGACAAACTAGGACCCTGCTGCTTGAGAAGGAGATGTTCACATTCATGACTTCTCATAATCTGCCCCAATACTGCATCTCCAGTTTTATCTTCTCAAAATTTCCCACCACAAACTCTGTGCTCTAGACAAGCTCCCTTACTTTCTCTCCAAATAATAAAACAGGCATTTCCATTTCTGAGATTTTGCTAAGACCTTTGTTCTTCTCTAGAATATTCCCTTATTTTCCCTCTGCCTTTCCTTCAAGACTTATTTGAGATTCTGTCTCATTTGTTTATTCAGTAAGCACTGAGTGCCTACTCTATGCAGTATACTGCCTGGAATGCTGGAGTTCACCAAAAACAAGCACGTCCTTATGTAATCTATGCTCAAGCAGGAAAATGATGCAAAATGAATTAAAACTAATTATTACAATTGTGATAAATGCTAATAATAATGAGGCACCGGAAAACAGAATAACCTATAATGGGGGCAGTGAACTTGGTCAGAAAGGTTTTCTCTTCTACAGTGTTGTGACAACCTCTTGGGAAATTATAGGGCAATATATTAAATCACATAGACCCTTTATCCCAAAAGTGCATTCTTTTTCCTTATAATTAACATATAGTGTTCTATTAGTTTCAGGTGTACAATATAATGATCCAGCAATTCTATACATTGAAGTACCAGCAATTCCACGTTTGAGACTTTATCATGTAATGGCAAAAGTGCCGTTTGACTTTGATTCCTAGCAAAAGTGCAGTGTGACTTTGATTCCTAGCAAAGGTTTAAAATCCTACCTAGCCAAGCTCCCCACAAGGAAGGTCAACTCTCCAAGCCAGCCTTGTGAATGGAGGAAAGGAAATGAAGGTAATCTAATGTGCCATAAAGTACTATTCAAGTGGGTGCACTGATCATGAGGTGTATGGAACATTCCAGAGAAATCAGATTTAGGTCCAACGGATCTAGCACTTGAGAGCTTGGTATAAGATCCCGTTGGATGTCTCCCAGTAAAAACTTATCTATTGATGTGCTTTGATGAAATGGTTGTTGAAAATGGGGGCAATGGCCGGGGTGACTACCCCAAGAACATTTGTTTTATTGGCCAGACTGGTTGCTATGCGCCATCCTTTGTCTCTGGAAGGCAAAGCGCTGTAAAAGATCTTGTTCCACTGGTAAAGCATCACAGCTTCATTGCATTGTACCTTGAAGTAAAGGTCACTTGTTGTTGGGTTGAAACAGAATAGTTCATCTTTACACAGAGCCAGACAAGTGCTGAGTCTCCTGTGACAGTCCCTGAGAGTGGTTGTTGAGCCAAGGTAGCAAAAATTGAGCATGGTCATGTAAAGGCTGTGAAAGGACTTGAGGGAGCAGGCATGCACCAGACTGCATGACATATAACCTTTGAAAAGGAAGTCCTTTACAGCATTGGTAGTGTAGCCTTGTGCACTACTTTGCCTCAACTGGACCAGTTGACATTCTCTAGTTAATTTGCCTCCCATGATGTGCCATTATTGGAGTCAAATTCTTTGTGAAGGTCATGTAGCATAATCCACATATGGTTAATTATGGCTCCTCTGACATTCAGGGGAGTATGGCTTAGACAGCTTGTCTGATCGAGGAGCAGCACCCTGGTGAGCAAGGTGTGCACTGAAGACTTATACTGCTGTGTGGAGTGGAGTAATCCTCAAACTAGTGATATAGGTGGCCATTAGGCATGTAACACAAACATTACATTCTTAGGCAGAGGCACCCATCAGTGCTTATAACTGTAATAACACTGTTGCGGAAATCTGGTTTGGATCACTGGCGGAAGAACCAAGCAGCACTTGGAGATCTTTGAAGGGAGGAGGTTTATTTCACACCAGTGGGCTCAGAGGACATCGTTCTCCAGAGGTCTGAGCCCAGCGCATCAGCAGAGGGAGTAATTTATAGCCTGTTACTTCCGCATTCCTCACTAATGCATGAGACAAGCAGGGTGGGAAGAAGATCCTGAAAGAGGAAGCCTTTGATCAGGGACAAGTATTTCCTTATCAGTCCTGCCGGCCATCTTATAACAGATTTTTCCCTATCCACACCAACAGTAATTGCACCTTTGCGGGTTACTGGGAAAGATATTGGCAGACGTACCTCCGGATCTGTTTCCTGGTCACTTGCTTTCCTGGCTTCTTCAAAGCCAGATGACAGTACAGAATCCCTAACGCCTCTCTATGGTGGCTGCCACAGGGAAAGAGGCAACAGCTTCCGTGGCAAAGTTACAGATAACATCCTCATGAAGTATGTCTTCATGGCAGGAATCAGATGTTTTAAGCTTGCCTCTTAAATAGCATTATAAGCCTGCTATTTCCAGACCAGAGGTACCAACCCCAGAAATGGTCATCAGGAGGAGCTGTAGAAATAACAGCCTAGCTATTAGCGTGGCTAAGTAATTGCAGGCAGTGGAGGCATGAGCCCACATGGGTGATGATTGAACCAATGGCAGGAGTTCCTTGGGACATACAAGAAGACAGGATTGTCACCTTGGACTGGAGTTTATTGATCTTTGTATTATTGGTCTTGAATGCTGCACTGGTTGTTGGGAGCCATTTCTGAACTGATAAATTGAGAAAGAACTCCTTGTGAGGTTAAGGTAAGTTGCACAGAGGCTTACCGTCAGATGGCGACTGATATGCACCCCCACCCAATTGTTTCTGCTTGAGTATCAACCCCCAAGTCACCTTGTTGATTGGTATTAGGAGTGACTCATTCTGGCCGTGATATGCTGATTGCACTGTGTGAAGGAACTTACTGTAGGAACTTCTTCTTTTGTGGTATGGGAGCAACATTGTGTTCCTGAAAGACCTGTTTTTCTTAATACCTCTCATTAAGCGATAAACAAGCTATTGACCCCTACTCACGAAGAACTAACTTTAGCCCTTATTATGCTAATGCCACCTCTGGGCTCTTCCCCATCCTTTTGCATATCAATGTTCTGGAAAGATTTTACTGATAAAAGAATTTATCATCAGAATGCCACTTCTGTGCCTTCCCCTAAACACTAAATCATAAAATAGAGTCTCAGACAGTGTGGAGAGGCCTGGCTGGTGCCTCTCTCATCCCTCTCTCGCCAACACTGTCCATCCTTCGGGGTCCCCTGGACCTGCCGGAGCTGGACTCTGGCAACTGGTGACTGTAGGTAACATTCTACAGCAGCTCTAACAACAGAGATGTCTGATGTCAACTTGTCTGTGATGTAAGATCAATGGATGTGTCTTCTTCTCTGTCACAATCACTCAGCGCTCTTTTTCCTCCTTGCACCTCACTCTTTAGATGAGCTGCTTGGTTGAAAGCTCCTCTAATCCCGGCTGAGCTTATCCCTGAACTACCATGTCATGTGTCTTGGAGGTAACTGGGTGTTCATTGCAATCAGCTGCTCCAGGTTGTGTCCTGAACATGGCTCTGTTGACCTTGAAATCATGGAGTAGGAGCATTCAGAGGAGCTCTGCTACTGCTCACATTATCAGAATCCAACATTAGTTCCAAGGCGTAGTTTTCAGTGGTGGGAAAACTGGATACCACGTGACTGTTCATGAGTAAGCAATAAGGGATAAAAGATTAATTTCTGGTATTTCTAGACTCTGGAATATTATACAGCTGATAAATACAAAAAAATTAGATCTATATGGTTTATCTTAAAGAATATTGGTTATAAAAGCAAGTTTTAAATACATTTGTTGATGGGGTTCCTGGGCGGCTCAGTTGGTTTGGCATCCAACTTTGGCTCAGGTCATGATCTCACCGTTTGTGGGTTTGAGCCCCATGTTGGACTCTGTGCTGACAGCTCAGAGCCTGGAGCCTGCTTTGGATTCTGTGTCTCTCCCTCTCTCTGATCCTTCCCCACTCTCATTCTCTCTCTCAAAAAATGAATAAATGTTAAAAAATTAAAAAAAAATATGTTTGTTTAAAATGAGCCCATAGTCACAAAAATCCACATGCTTGTATATTTGAAAGAGCTTGGAGAAAGACGAAAGGGTGCTTGCTAACTGTTAACCTTGGTACCTCTAATTTATGGGCAAAATAATGGAGACCTCTTTTGGAAGATGCCATAGCTTTTACTTTGTATGTCTTTGGATTTTCTCATTTGTTACAAAATTAGCTGTCATTAAAATCATGAAAGGGGCACCTGGGTTTAGTCAGTCAAGCGTCCGACTTGGGCTCAGGTCATATCTCAAGGTGTGACTTCGAGCCCTGCCTCACGTCTGTGCTGACAGCTGAGAGCCTGGAGCCTGCTTGGGATTCTATGTTTCCCTCCCTCTCTGCCCCTCCTACTGGCACTCTGTCTCTCAAAAGTAAATAAACATTAAAAAATTTTTTAATTAATGAAAAAAATTTTAATTTTAGTAGGAGAAAGAGACACTAAGTCCTTCTTAACCTACCCAACAGCATCTAATACAATAAACATTCTATAAATATTTGTGGAAGGAGACAGAAGGGGAGGAGGAACAGGTTTAAATGTTTGATAGAGATTAAAAAAAAAAAAAAAGGTAGCCATTAAACCAGTATGGCATGGTGAAGCATTATAGAAGCTCTAAATGAATAGTGGGAGGAAGGAAAAAGGAGAAATTTGATCAGGCTGGCAAAATAAAATGGGAACAAGTGAAAAAAAGAAAGCAAAGTAAATAAGATACACTAATGGAAGTGACAAGGTCAATACTGCAGTTACTCTATTAAATGTAAATGAGTTGAATTTACTATCAAGTGAAAAAAATCTTTCATATTGGGTGTAAAAACTCGGCTAGGTGTTGTATACCTGAAACAAACTGAACTTGGAACAAAAGGATTCTATTCACAATCTGCAAATACCATTAAAATATTTCGGAATACACCTAGCAAGACAAGAACATGATGTGTATTAGAAAAGCTATAATATTTCCGTGGAAGTATTAGTTTTCTGTTGCTTCAGTAACAAATAACCAGACTCAGGGGCTTAGATCAACCCAAATTTATTATCTTACAGTTCTGTAGGTGAGAAGTCTCAGCAGGCAAACGTCAAGATGTCAGCAGGGCTGTGTTCCTTTTGGAGACCAGGGGAAAATCTCCAACACTTTGCTCATTGAGGTGTTGGCAGAATTTAATTCAATGAGATTGTGGGACTGAGATCTCTGTTACCTTGGTGACAGTCAGCTTGGAGCTGACCTCAGCTCCTAGAGGACTCTCAGGACCTTGGAGATAGCCCTCAATATTTCAGATGCAGCAATAGGGTGTGGCATCCTCAGGCTTTGAATCTTTCCTGTGATTGGACTGGGCCGACTTCCCCCAGCCCTATAATTCAGGACAATGTTATCACCAGGTCCTTAATTTTACTCACATCTGCAAAATTCCTTTTGTAAGGTAACCAATTCACAAGTTCTGGGAATTAGGGTATGGACATCTTTGGGGGCTATTCATCTGCCTACCACAGTGAAGGATATAAAGTTTTAAAAATAAATGTATTAAAGTGTCACATTCTTGGATGGGAAGATGTGCTATTGTCAAGAGATGTCATTTCTGCCTGCATTACCCTGCAAATTCTCTGCAAGACGCTTTACGGATAACCGAAATTGGATTCTTAATCAAGTGAGGGGATAGATGCTCAGAGAAGACTGTATTGCTTAGAAAAATAAACACTGACATTCTTTGCAGACTTTAACTTAGGTAGACTACACATATTCTAGATACAAATATACCAATATCATGCTCAAGGGCAAGGTAATGTTTTCCATTGTGTTTCCAATATTCTTACTGTTAACATCCAGGATTTTTCTAGTCCCTTTATTTTAGGCACACATTTGACTAATATTTTGAACCATTTACAGAGACTCCTACCACCCTGTCCTTTTTAATAACCAAAAGCTTAAGACTCCATCATCTTATACATAAGGTTTCACATTATTTCCCCTAACACATCCTTTTTACACTCGTCAAATCTGAAACTCCTTTTATTTTTTCCATCCACTCACACAGCTTCATGACAACTTTCAGCAAAAGTTTCTGGCAGATGGGCAATGTCTTCTCAGTTTACTTGTGATGCCACTTAGAAAAGTGTTTCTAAACATTTCCTTAAGAACGATTTCCATTGTAATGCTGCCTTAGAGATGTGTATCATACTGTGGACAGCGAATGCCAAGGCAGATCGCGTGGGTGGGTGCAGATTCTGTGATAAGGTTTTTATTCCCTCCATTTCTTTGCCTGTTTGGAAAGGCGGGGTGAAGATGAACAAGAAAAAAGTGAATTTGCATCTCCCTCAAAAGAAAGTAACGTTTGTAAAACTGCCACTCTTTTTGACTTGCAAAGAAGCTCATATAACGACTCTATTTACAGATGCGATTAGTTTACTCAATGAAAAGAGATTTCAAGGCAATTGTCATGCTTTATTAACCGTCAGTATATTTGGATGTATCCTATTTACAAATTCCTGGAAATAAAAGTCACCGTTGTTTAATCCCCAACACCCAGCCTCGGAACTGACTTCTCTGGTTTTAGGTCAACTGTGGGTGTCTCGCATTGTCTGTCTCCAACTTTCTCAAACTCTACCAGAGAAAAAATGGGTGCAAGCAACCTTCTTCTCTAAGCTATTACTGCATGGACAGAAATCCTGCGACGTCCGCTGAAGGGTGCTGTCCCGCAGCCTGGCGGACCCCCCCGCGGTCGCCCCCTCCAGCTTCCGGACGCAGGTCAGAAAGGGGTCGCGACAAAAGGGTCCAGGGAGGTTCAGCCCGAGTCTGCGACTTCCCAGGAGGTGGAGGCAATGACCCTGACCTTGTCGGCACCGGCCAGGCATGCGGCCAGGAGACAGTTGCCCCACCGCGGGAAGATGCTTCCCTCTACGGCTTTCAAAGGAGAGAACATAAAGCCCCTCACCAGCGGGCACAGGCTCTGGAGTACCCGGATGCAGCAGTTCCGCCTCCCGGGGCAAGGCAACGCATGCGCATCCAAGACTTTGCGCTAGTGGGCGGGGCGCGGGAAGAGAGGAGGAAGGGCGGCGGTTGGGCAAGAGGGGAGCCGCACCCACCGCGCCAACGTCTCTGCGCATGCTCTGCGCGTCGGCTTCTGGTACTTTCGACGCGCCTGCGGGCACCTACCTCAGTTCGCGTCCGGAGGTCGGAGGTGGAGGTCGAGGTTCTGTGGTTCGAGAACAGTTTGGAAAAACCGCTCTCCTTCCTCAGCTTCGAAAGGAAGGCGTCCGCTGGTCATTCCTTTTAGTCTTCGGTGAGGCGTCGGCGGCCTGTGGTGGTAAGTTTCCTGGTGACGGGGTCGATTCCTGGTGCCTGGGGCGCGGGGGGCGCAGAGAGGGGGGCCGCTGGGGGGGCCAGCAGGCCAGCCTTCGGAGTCGCCACCGCCTGGATCGGAGTGGCTCGTACAGTTTCTGGCTTTGGGCCTCCGACGCCCTCGCGACTCACTACCTCCGCTCCCCTCCCCCCTCCCCCAGTTGTTTTCAGCGCCGAGTTTCCGGGAGGGGAGACTTGCAGCCTCCGGCGGACATGCCCCACTACGTGAAAGACCTGTGGCCTGGCTCGCCGCAGGACAAGGAGTCCCCCTCGACGTCCCGGTCGGGCCGGTCCAGCCGCCTGTCCTCGGCGTCCGGGAGCCGGTCTTCTTCCCGAAGCTCTCGGTCCCGCTCCAGCGTCTCGAGCCCGGCGTCGTCGCGGGGTAGGAGTCGGAGCCGACCGCGGCGGGGGAGCAGGTCCCGGTCCCGGAGGCGCCACCAGAGGAAGTACCGGCGCTACTCGCGCTCGTACTCTCGCAGCCGGTCGCGCTCCCGCGGCCGCCGCTACCGGGACCGGCGCTACGGGGCGCCCGGGAGGTCCCTCCGCTCGCCGTCAAGGCCCCGCTCCCGCAGCCGGTCCCGCTCGCGGGGACGCTCGTATTACCGACGGGCCTACGCGCTGGCGCGGGGGCGGCGCCACTACGGCTTCGGCCGCACCATGTACCCGGAGGATCGCCGCACTTGGAGGGGCCGGTTTAGGAGCCGGAGCCGTTCGCGGAGCCCCAGCCCTTTCCGTCTGAGCAAAAAGGGTGAGTCATCTGCCAGGAACTTGGCCTTCGCACCCTGCCGCGCGGCTGGCGGCCGCACGAGCGCACCCGGAACCGCGGTGGCTGTGTAGATTGGGTACTTACATTGCTTCCGGTGCCTGTAATGATGGTTTCTTTGGGAGGAGTGAGGGAGGGACACGTTAGCAGGTCAGTGGAGTGGTTAAAATCGCTCTCTTTGGCACCCGGTTTTCTTAATTTTTTAATGTTTATTTTTGAGAGACAGCGTGTGCAGAGGAGGGGCAGAGAGAGAGGGAGGCACAGAATCCCAAGCAGGCTCCAGGCCCTGAGCTGTCCGCACAGAGCCCGACGCGGGGCTGGAACTCCGGAACTGCGAGATCATGACCGTGACCTGGGCCCAAGTCCGACTTAGACACCTAGCCGCCCCTGGCACCCAGTTTTGAAGGGAATGGTCTTTTCTCCTTGAGATTAGAAGTCAGCTGTGGTGTCCAGTACATTGAGATGGAGGAAATTCTTTTTCCTAGTGGCTCACCCTTAGTGAGGTTTTTTAGGTGTTACAGGTGACTCAGGAGTTTATCCGTTTTAAGCTTTTGTTACTATTGAGCGTTAAGAAGAGTTAAACAAAGCCGGATTTAGGCCCAGTACTTTAAAACAAATGATTTGTTTTGCTGTTGGATAGGATCACAGAAAAAGACATGGAAATGAAAACATGTAGATAGGAGTCTGAAAATGGATTTAAGTAATGTATCTCTTATTGGCTCATTAGCTGTGACAATTGTGTTATCTATAAAGGGTACAAAGAACCTTGTTCAGGATATACAATTGAAGAGAAAGCAAAAACAATTAAATTCAGGCCTTTGGTAAGGAAAACTGAAAACTAATTGTTGAGATTAGGACTCTTTTTTTCTTTTCTCAGCAAAAAATGAGGTAGAGAATTTTGTTTTTGTGATCAGGGCTGTATTTTATGCACTAAAATAAAAGATTGAGACATCTTTTTATTCTAAACCACAGGTTTATTCTGGGATTCTGAGATCTACAGGGAAATTTAGTACAGGATTAACGAATGTCTTGTTTTGTTTTTGTAGATCGAATGGAGCTATTAGAAATAGCAAAAGCCAACGCAGCAAAAGCTTTAGGAACAGCCAGCTTTGACCTACCAGCCAGTCTCCGAACTGTCCTTGCGTCTAAAGAAACAAACCGCGGAACAGCTGTACCAAACAGTGGAGCAAAGTCTGAGGTAAGTATTCTAGGCTTTACCCAGACAAGATCTTCAGAAAGCTACTGCTAGAGAAAGATCTAATGGGCCATCTTTACTTGTTTGACCTTAGACTGCTTCTTGGAAAGCCTGCATACAATTTGTTAAGATCAAAATAGCAGCTGTAGAGAAGGTCTTTCCATCATGAAAATGGGAGATTAGTGAACTTTATTTCCACGGGACCCAGTACTACTTACTTTCATAATTGTAGGTGGTATTTTGGCAATTTCTGTGTAGCTGTCAAATTTTTCTATCCAGTTTTTGCACGGTATTTTTTATCTGTAGTTTATATTCGCAGCGTTATGTTCCCACAAGTTCTATATTCAACATACAGTATAGTTTATCTGCTTTATTTCTGTCTTATAGAAATCATGAATGTGGTCTCCAGACATTGATGAAGAGAATCTGTGGGTAATTGATAACATGGGCAAAAGCATCAGACGTTTAACTAATTTGAAGTTTATGTTCACAGACTGAAAGTTTAGTTTTTTTGTTAGATCCATATGCATGCTAGAATCTGGGACAGGGACTATTTTGATGAGATACTGAAGATAGTTCTTTTTAAAGTAAACACTGTAATGGTGGGGCGTCTGTCCCTTTCATAATATATGCAATATATTCCAGATGTTTTGAGAGATTACAGAAGAAGAGGCCTGCTTCACTTGCAGATAAGTTTATTACAATTCTCCAGAAATGTGCAGGATGTGCATTGGCAAATTGCACTGTGGTCTTAAGTTAATGGTATGAAATCCAAAGTATAAAATTCATCACTTTTGAGGCTTATGGTAGTTAGGGGTTTGATAGAATCCTTTAACACAGGAAAATGCTCTCTAGATGAACTTTTCTAGCATTCAGACCCAGATGTGAGTTTGCTTAAGTATTTAGTAGCAAACAAGATCTTAGGTGAGTTGCTTTTTCAGATGACTAGGTGCCCAACTGGCAAATGCCTTAGTTTTTGAAACTAGGTATTTTTTGGTATGACTTCACTTTCAGAGTTACTTGAATTTGTATCAGGGGAAATCTTAATACTGCTTTATGGGAAAAGTCTCTTAAGCTGATTATTAATCGATTTGTTAGGAGGAAAGCTGGAGTACTACGTTTTGATGCTTAATGATTAGATCCAGCTCGATTTGTGTCTCTACAACTAAATTTATGTACAGTTGGGCTGCATTTTATATGGAATCGTAAACCAAGGGTATCGTTTTTTTAAAAAACATCCTTTCTCTTACATGTCTAGCTGTCGGAAAAACTAACAGAAGATGGAACTAAAAACCTCAATGAAAAGTCTGGCCAGCAAAAGAGCATAGCTTTTAGCTCTAATGTAAGTATATCTAGGCATTGACCACTGAAAAATTGGACTTAGGATATAATTATGTGGGCTCTTATTTTGTTGGAAGGCTTTTATTTTGTGGTAGTATTTTGGGATCTGCTCAGCCACGTTAGATAGAACTTGTCATAATCTTTTGTAACGTTACAAATGGCGAACATCATGGCTTCCTCTGTATCTGATATTCACAATTTTTTTTGAGAGAGTGAGTGCTAATGTATGCCGGAGGGATGGGGCAGAGAGAGAGAGAATCAAGCAGGTCCTTTGCATTGTCAGCACAGAGTCCAATGTAGGGTCCAAACCCACAAACTAAGATCATAAGCTGAAATCAAGAGTTGGATGCTTAACCAACTGAGCCACCAGGTACCCCAGTATTCACATTTTTGATATCGGTATTTACTTTTAAATACTCCTCTTATACTTGTTGAACAATTTAAAAAGCAAATCTCCGAAACCCCTGTAATCACAGTATTTTCAAAGCCTGCTAAGAGCTTAAAAAAACAAAACTAAACTATTTTAACACATCATTTTGTAATATACTTTGAATCAGTGTCTAATTTTCCCCAGTAATTTTTTGGCTTTATAGTTGGAATCGAGTGATGAATATGGGGTCTTTGCATTTTAATTTTTAAATGAAATTATTTAGTACATTTTGTAAAAACACAAGTATTTTGGATACAACGTCTGTGTTTCCATAGCTGACTTAAGAATTCGTTCTCTTCCAGAATTCTGTAGCAAAGCCAATGCTTCAGAAATCAGCTAAAGCGACTGCTGAAGAGACCTCTACAGGATCTCCCAAAATAAATGAGAAGAAAAGTCCATATGGACTGTGGATACCTGTCTAAGGAAAGAAAACTATATAAGGTTGGCTGAAATGCACTTTATTGCAAGTTTGTGTTCCAAGCATTATTCCATCCCTGAAAGCCACTTAGGGGTCGTTGTTGCAATTACAATTGCAAAGTAATATGCAAATCTTTAATATTTAAATATTAACATTTGAAGTTTCTCTTGTAGATAAGAGATAACACACATGGACCAGAGGATTCGTACAGGTGGGAGTTTTGTACATACGCTTGTAAATATTTTGTATGATACCAATGTAATGTAAAAGCAAAATTTATAAGAGAAGCAGTAATGGAATTGTTTATATTTGCTAATAAAGTTTTTGGTTTTTTAATCGTGTCACTTGTTTTGTATGTGTATATTACATAAAGAGTCTTTATTTAAAGAAGCATTACGTGTCTCTCCTTGAAAGCCTTGCTAATTCCAAATCCAAATCCTGGACTGACAGCATAGGGTTCACTGACCCTTACCTGGTGTTTGTGGGAAATGTTGAATCTGTCTTCACCCTATACCTGAATTTGAACCTGAATCTTAATATTCCCAGTTGATGTGGTTTTTCATTAAAATTAAAATTTCATTAAAATTAGGCCTAATATTTGTGGAATTCTGGCAATTGTTGTGCTGGACAAGTTAAACTGCAATCTTTAAGGGCAGGAAATTCAGCCAGAGAGGTAGAGGTGGAGATGGATCACTGAGCTCTAGAGTCTGTGAGTGTTAAGTTGCATTTCTTTATTCTGCTTTTCTAGTTAAAAAAGTTTTTAATAGTTTATTTTGAGAGAGCAAGCGGGGGCAAAGAAGGAGAGAATCCCAAGCATTGGGATTCTTTGCACTGACAGTTCATCTAATTTCTTTCTTTTTAATAAATCTGAGAGAGAGGCAGCGTGAGCAGGGGAGGGTTAGAGAAAGGGAGAGACAGAATCCGAAGCAGGCTCCAGGATCTGACCTAGCTTTCAGCACAGAGCCCAACACGGGGCTTGAACCCACGAACTGTGAGATCATGTCCTGAGCCGAAGTCGGACACCTGACTGAGCCACCCAGGCGCCCCTGATTTCTTTTTTTTAATGTCTTATTTTTGAGAGAGACAGAGCACAAGTGGGGGAGGGGAGGGGGAGAGAAGGAGACACAATCCGAAGCAGGCTCAGGCTCTGAGCTGTCTGCACAAAACCCATTGTGGGGCTCAAACCCATGAACTGTGAGATCATGACCTGAGCTGAAGTCAGACGGTTACCGGTTATCGGAAAGCCACGCAGGCGCCCCTAGTTTCTCAGCCCTACTAACCACTTCTGAAGTTAAGAACAGTGACTGTACAGTTGGAGAGAACAGATAGCAGTGTTCTATCATAGAACATTGTATAGGAAGGAGCTGCTCTAAATTTTTTTAAAGTGTGTTTATTTTGCGAGAAAACTTGGCAGAGGAGGGGCCGAGAGGGAGAGATCAAAATCTGCCTGACAGCAGGCTCCCTGTGCTGTCAGTGTGGAGCCCAATGGGCTCGATCCCACAAACCAAGAGCTCAAGATGAGCTGAAATTCAGAGTTGGACATGTAACCAACTGAGCTACTTAGGCACCTCTGACCTTATGAAAGCTTTAAGTAATCAATGACCTACATACGTGCATTCTCAGACATGTAATGCCTATTATTTATATTGCCTTGGTTGCAATCTCATCCTTTAAGCCAGCAGCACTTGGTTTGAACAAGGGAAATTACTGGAAGAGAGAGTTGCTCCTCTGTGTAAACATGTCCAGTTTACATTTAGGTTAACCGTAGTTATCAGGAGGGTGACCTGTGTTCATAAAGCAGTAAGAAAGTTTGTGGTGAGTTCATGCTTTTAAGGAAACTTGAGAGAACATTGGTGGTTGGACCTGGTTATAGCAAAGTCCAGTAAAACATCAGGATTTGAGTTTAACTGAAAACATGGTTAACATGAGCACCTTCTAGTATATTTAGTTGGTATCCTTAGCAGAGTTGCAGAACTTGAGGATTTTGTGAGGGAGACTTTGGGAAAGAATGATGTGGTAACGTTATTTTTTACCTTCATTTCGCTGGTAGCAACACTTACCCTGATTATGACCTGTATTCAGATACGCTAGCCCTTAACAGCTCAGCCAGTGGACAAGTCCTATAATTTTTCAGCCAAACCCCTTCGTATAGAAGAAAGGTCTGCACCAACACCTTCTGACATTCACTTCTACAGTGATCTCTCTCCTCCACCGTATGCTTTTCCATCAGCCTGTTAGCATGCTTGAGGCTTCGCCATTTTCGCTTTCATTTCTTAGTCTGTTGGCTCACTTTCTCTTTTATTTCTAGTGCCTAGAAGAGAGTATACATTTTTTCTTCTATAATTGCCCTGTTAAGTATACTATTGTATATTTGTCTAAATTGACCTTGTCTGTTGGGCATGGCCAGGCCTATGGTGTTGTCAGTCTTGGGCTGTGTAACACAGAGGAGTGTGTGTGTGTGTGTGTGTGTGTGTGTGTGTGTGTGTGTAAACCCAGACTGGCCATCATTAGTGGGATGCAGTTGCCCAGATGTGATCCCCTGTCACTGTATAACTGGTGGACAGTATAGGCAGGATGGTCCTGATGGTGAAAAATTGTACCAAGAGACCGATTCCGTGCTATCCAGGGGGAATAAGAACCATATTGAAAAAGTTAAAAGAGTTGGGGCCTAGGTGGCTCAGTTGGTTAAGGGTTCCACTTTGGCTCCCGTCATGATCTCACGGTTCATAGGTTCGAGCTCTCCGTCAGGTTCTGTGCTGACAGCTCGGAGCCGGCAGGCCTGCTTCAGGTTCTATCTCCTCCGCCCCTCCCCCGTTCATATGCTGTCTCTGTCTCTCTCAAAAATAAACATTAAAAAAAAAGTAAAATTTTTTTTACCCCTATGTATCTAAAATGGCATTTCAACATTACAAGAAATAGTGGCATTTTGCTTTTTTCTGTATGAAGTATTGTGATCCAGCGTGTACTTTAAAGCACACCTCACTTTGTCCTACTTGTTTGGGTGATCAGTAGTCACATACGGTGAGTGACCATTTTGGAAAGCGCATCTCCGTGTATAGGTTCAGGTGTTAGGCTTTGCTGTTTTTCTTAAGGTGTAAACTAGAGAAACCTTGGTCTCTCACAGTAGCATGCTATCCTTCGCTTGGGTTTTTTTTTCCTTGCTGTAAACCTCTATTAAGTTTAGTATAATGTCGTATTTAAGAGTGCTTACTTTTCATGCTTTCTTTGTAAAAGTCCTCAAAATTTTCTTCAGGGATTTACAGGCATTGGTTATTTTGATCTCTTCCATTTTCTGCACTGGCTCTTTGTCCTTTGCTGTTAGGATCTATCCTCGGCCTGTTTCTCCCTCTACAAGCTCTCTTGGCAATTTCCTCCACTCTCTGCCCGTAACTACCATCTACTATCTGAAGATCAATTTCCTGAGCTCTTTTCCAGTGCCTACCCCCCACCCCCCCCAGCTCTCCAAAATGAACCCTTCCTATACTGAGCTTAGTACCGTAAATTGCCTGCTTGAATTAGTGGCTTTGAACATCCAGTCACCTTCAGAGTTGTCCTCAAATCATACTGACAGCTCTTGGTTGAAGCAGCAAGTGGCCGTTGGGAGTGCTTTTCTCCTCTAGAGAAATCTATTTTTCCTTTAAATCCAGGTTATTAGGACCTCTCGGAATCCTATCCCTACTAATCTTTCCTTCCTCTTTTCCCTTAGTACACTGGTATTCTAGGTTTTCTTTGAAAATACTGGAGAACCGAATAAACTGGCAGATTACTACTTTTTTGAGAAGACTGGACAGCATGAGTATGTGTCTTGAATTATTTTGAGAAGGAAGTCAAAGTAAAATTACTGCTTCTGTTTCCATTCTGCAGAGGCAACTGTAAATAGTATGTACATGCTGGATTTTTCCATGCCTTCTACAAACCTCATTTTAGATTGGAGCATCTTTTCATGTTCATACAGATCTGCCTCATACTATATTTGTATCAATGTACAATGTTCAAATGTCCCTATTCACAGGACATTGAATACACCATTATTATTAATAGCATTTGTATTACCATCTTTTATCAACCCATCATTCACTAAGTCAGAGCTTCCTACTGGTGTGCCCAACTTACTGATCCCAGTACTCTTTTTATTCACATTAACTGACATGATCTCCTCTACTTTAATGGGATACTCCTGACATTCAGGTTTTCTATTCCATGTTTCCCATAATTATACCCAAACTACATATCCTAATCTTTCAGTAACAGTTGAAATAAGGTTACCATTTCAATTAGGCTTTGAAAAAAGACTGTATTATGTAAGTTTTAATAATCCTCTCACCAAATGTTTTAATTTACCTTCTTCCAAGGGAAGTTTGCTTTTTGACAATGGTGTTATTTACAAAATGTCATTAAAGAATGTTTCCTACCTTCTATGCTTGCCCCATAAATGTATGTGGGCAAAGCATGGGATAGGCAAGCACCTGTTAATCACCTGTTAATTGTGACTGCTTCTGGTGTGTGTGTTGGGGGGGAGCTGTGTGTGTATGAAGGTGAATTTCCAGTAGCCACTGTCCCCTTCCTTTCACCACCTACCATAGCTTACAAGAAGAATTAGCACCGATTTAGCATTCTATCTCTGAAGCTCCCAAGTTCATCTGTAGGTCAAGTCCAACAAGACAAATCTAGGACAATGATGATTCACATGTTTGTAGCTAGGAATTTAAAGCCCAGCAGGGTACGCACATGAAGCACACAGTTTGAATACAGAAAATACAAGACATTTTTTCTGAAACGAGTGAATAATAAATAAGCATGAAAATGAATAGTCGTAGCACACTTCTTTACAAATTATAAAAAGAAAGCTAATAGAGCCCTGATTTACTGTTCTAATTTGGCAGTCAACACAGTTCCTGAAGGAGATTAGACCGCTGTTCCTCTTTCCAAATTCTGTTTAATTTCAGCTGTATATTTCCCATAGAATCTTTCTGCTTTCTTGTTGAATTTAGCATTCCTTTCATTAATATAGTCGATGTCTGCATCATCATTATAAGGACGTCTCCGGCTATATTTGTCTCGTTTATAAATTCTAGAGGAAGAAAAATTTATAACATTCAAAATTTCCTTCTTTTTTGATATTAATAAAACCTCAAATAGTTAAGAATAGAATTCAGTAATGGAAGCAAATACACAAAATTCCAAGCTGCTATCTTTTTTTGTTCTCATAGTTAAAACTGAAAGTAGTATCTTTAGAAAATAATTCTACAAAGAAATACATTCAGTGAGCTTTCCTGAATTTATAAGTCAACAGTACTCCAGATCTAGTCTTAACATTGGGAAATAACCCAGGTTCA